ATGGTGGGCAATTGTCTAGCATGTCAGTTTCAGAAACACTTCATTTCAATGTGCACTTTCTTTAATACAATGATAAATAAGAGCAATCTTTTGTGTAAAAAAACAGGTTCCAAGTTGCTTTGGTTTGGGATGGATTTTAAAAAAAGAAAAAGAAAGCCAGAAACAGGAAAAGAAGAAAGTCGTACCCTCACCATGCGCCATCTTTGAGCTACTGAAAGAATGGATGATCTGCATGCTTATTAACTGACGTAAATCCTGTTCCCCTGCTGACATGAATCAGGAATGACCATACACATGCCTGTAGTGCAATTTAATAGACGGTCTTGACCTGGGTGGCATTAGAGCCTCACATTAGTTCATGCCCTGGGGTGGAACAAGAATTTATATTATCTTTAAAATATATGCAAATGTTGTAAAATAATGTTTCAACTTATATAATGTTTCACATTGTAGACAATGAAAAGTGTAAAGAAAGAAATAGCATTTTTTCATTTTCCTGCTACGCAGGGTTGTTGTTAAGTGCCGTTGAGTCGGTTCCAACTCATAGCGACCCTGTATAGGGTTTCTGAGGAGTCGCTGGTGAGCTGGAACCACCGACTTTGTGGTCCAGTGCATTAACCCACAGCACAAGTAAATTTAGGTGTATTTTCTTCTAAATCTCTAGATCGTTTGACTGACTCATAGACATCCTAACTGCCCCTTCCCTATCTTACAAATCAGTGTTCACACTGAAGTGTCAGTTCAATTTTAGGAAATAAAATACAAAGGCAAGTCTTCATAGCCTCCTGTTGTTAAGTACCAGAGAGCTGGTTCTGACACATAGAGACCCTGCATAGGGTTTCCAAGGAGCAGCTGGTGAGTTTGAACCACTGACCTTGTGGTTCAAACTGACCTTGCAGTCAAGTGCTTATCCTACAGTGTCAAACCAGGAGTCCCTTCATATCCTAGAGGGGGATTTACAAGAGTCAGCCCTGGCACACAGAACGACTTCACGCCAAAGAAGAGGCTGGGGTCAGAGAAGACCCCTCCAGGCAGAAAAGGATGCTTCTGGCCCCACCCAATCTGTAACGACCCTTCATCTTCCTTGAGGGGTAACCAGAGCTCTCTGTCTCCCGCAGTGGTTGATCACTACACGAGTAAGATAGTCTTCAACGGAGTTCGAGTCATCGCCATCATCATCATCGGCCTGGGCTTCCTCCTCCTTCTGTTGCCGGAGGAGTGGGACGTCTGGTTGATTAAGCTCCTCACCCGCCTCAAAGTGAGGAAGAAGGAGGAGACGGCTGAAGGCAGTGCAGACCTGGGCTCAGGATTCCAGAGCAAGAACCGAAGAACTCGCCCTTCCTTTGCCCGCTAACATCATCTCTCCAGAACTGTGTGGTGATTCCATCCTGGTAGTGATTTGGAGGCCTTTTCCCAGCAGAAGGAGTATGAGTGCAGTGAGTTGTACATACCTGTACAGTTTTGGTAATCTGCGGTAAGTTATACGGTATTTATTGGCATGTCCAATTTGCTTGCACTTTTTCCACATCAGACCTTTCACTTAAAGGGTACGACTTCAATGTGAAAGAGAAGGAGAGAAAGAAGCAGCAGAATCTCTCAGCTCTTTGAAAGTGAATGTAAAGTCTGTTTGAATGATCCTTGCATAGATGGTTTGGAATGACAGACATTCCTGACAAGCCAGGGCAAATGTCTGGAATCTTAGCCGCCGAGAATTACATTGCGCACTGTGATTATTTTCCAGCTGTGGTAGGTCGTATTTGTGTTTTATACCAGAGCTGTACTTTTAATTTTAAGGAATTTCAAGGAGCCAAAAGACAACGAACTGGAAGTTAATCCTGATGGATGGATGGGATGGGAAAAAGTGAGGTAGGAAAACAGAATCAGCATCGAAATGACCCGTTATGACTAATGTGCCGAATGGAGTAGGCGAAAGACAGGCCTCGCAACAAGAGATAGATAGGAAGGAAGGGTGTGATCAGCCAAGCCCCCGCTGGCTTGAACCCACGTGTCTGTGTAAGATCATGCAAGAGAAATTACAGTGCCTTCTACACAATTTCTGTCTTTACCTATGTGACGCGAGGTGACATTGTACGTCACTGGCGCCATCTTATAATCTAGACGTAGAACTCTTTAGAAACATCAATTATATGTGTGTGTACAAAAACGGCAAAGCGAATGACCCATCTGTACGGAACGCGGCTCACGGTGTACAATACGCATTCTAAGGTAGACTATGCAGGGGTGAATTGCTGGTTGCTTTCATTTCATGATCAAGATGAAAACAATTATTTCCTGAATCTGTAAACCTTTTTATGAAACTTTTAAGCACCAGGCTGTTTACTTACACAATTTAGGTCTGCCAGAAAATTCTATCTGTGATAGATCTGTAAAGAGGGACAAAGGGGTTAGAGTTTACTATTTTTGAAGTTTACATTGTTACATATGAAAATGGAAAATTTATTTTGAAATGTTGTCATAACCCAATGGTACATTCTGTAACCATGGAGTCTTTTGTCTCATGGGGAAAGGGGTATTCATGACCTGAACTTTTTAGCAAATTATTCTTCTCAGATTCCATTACCTGTTTGGCCAAACAGTTAATAAAACCTTTAAACAGAAAAGTGTATTCCTGTCTCCCTGGCCCCTGTGTGGCTTGGCCTCTTCACTGACGTCATTGGTGTGCTGCTGAGACGTGCCTTACGGTGTTCTAACCCCTCTCCCCTCACCCTTGCCTCTCTCTCGAGTACCATCCTCCTGCACCGTGTGGTAGTGTTGTTGTGTTTCCAAGTCGGTTGCAACTCACAGTGATCCTGTGTAGGGTTTGCAAGGAGCGGCTGGTGAGTTTGAACCACCAACTCTGTTAGCAGTCCAGTGCTTATCCTACAAGCACTGCATCAGTGCAGGAAGCCCATCCATACCACCTTAGGTGAAGAAAACCTTGATTATAATGATGAAGTTGAATTTCTCAAAAGTCAAATGCAGGCTGATCATGGATGGCAGCAGTCCCCTTCCTCCCCGCCTTGTCCACCATGCTTGTGTTGCTGTGAGCTGCCCAAAAGTCAGCTCCCAGCAGGCCAGCTCACCACAGCCCCAGGCAGAACAGAACAGCCCAGTCCCACGTAGCCCATGACCGGTGCAGATTGGCTCGTTCTCAGCCAGACAGTTACCAGTGACTGATTTCCAGAAAAAGATCACCAGACCTTTTTTCCTAGTGCATCTTGGTCTGGAAGCTCTGCTGCCATGTGTTCAGCATCTCAGCAACGTCCAAGCCTCCACCAATAGATGGGTGGTTGGCTGCATGCTAGCTACGCTGACCAGGAATTGAACTCTGGACTCCTGAAGGGAAGCATTCTACCCCTGAACCACCAGTGCTCTGTTGCTTCCTTCTCGCCTGTACTTTCTGACTGACATCCTCAGTTCAGTTTCCACAGTCTCTCCTAGCTGTCCCCAAATGGCATCCTCAGCCCCCAAGTGACTTTCTCCACAGCTGTCTGCTTTCGGTGTCTTAACCTAATGCTGGTTTTATAGATAAGTTGGTAATACAGCTTGTTGTGGTTAAGTGCCATCAAGCTGGTTCCGACCCATAGTGACCCTCTATAGGGTTTCCAAGGAGCAGCTGGTGAGCTTGAACCACCAACCTTGCAGTTCAAACGGCTTTACAGTCTGTATAAATTAACCCACAGCACCACACTAGGACTCCATTTTGCTAGTTCAGTCAGCTGAGGCCAGGGATGATGAGGCACAATGTCACCCATTCTTGGTTCTCCAAAGAGTGTGTGAGCAGAAAGGAAATGATTAATGTCTTTAGTAGATTTCATCTTATGGAACACAGCTAGTTTCTGCCCACCACATGTCACTTAGCTACAGGGGTAGTATAAATGGTTAATCCATTCAAATGCTTAGTGTTGCTGTTGTCAGGTGCCATTGAGTCAGTACCGGATTATAGCAACCTTACGCACAACAGAACAAAACGCTGCCCGGTCCTGTGCCAACCTCACAATCACTACTACGCTTGAGCCCACTGATGCTGCCATTGTGCTAATCTGTTTCGGTGGGGTCTTCCTGTTTTTTTACCGTTCCTCCACTATACCAAGCATGACATCCTTTTCCAGGGACTGGTCCCATCTGGTTGTTGTTGTTGTTGTTAAGTGCCTTCGAGACGGTTCCGACCCATAGCGACCCTGTACAGGGTTTCCGAGGGTGTAAATCCTTACGGGAGTAGAAAGCCTCATCTTTCTCCCGCGGAGCAGCTGGTAGTTTCGAACTGCTGACCTTAAGGTTCGCAGCCCGATTCGTAACCACTACGCTACCAGAGCCCATCTGATAATACATTCAAAATATGAGACAAAATCTGGCCATCGTGGCATCTGAGGAGCATTCTGGCTGTCCTTCTTCTAACACAGAGATCTGTTTGTTCCTCTAACAGTCCATAGTACTTTTAATATTCTCTTCCAACACCATAACTCAAATGCAACTATTCTTCGGTGCTGTTCCTTACATGTGAGGCTAGTTCTCAAATTGACACCTTGGCTCTTGAACACTTTAAAGAGGGCTTGTGCCGCAGATTTGCCTAATGCAATATGTCCTTTGATTTCTTGATTACTTCTTCCGTGAGTATTGATGGTGGAGCTGAGTAAAATGGAGTCTTTGACAACTTCAATCTTTTCTCCATTTATCTTAAAGTTATTTATTGGTCCAATGGTGAGGATTTTCCTTTTCTTTACATTGAGGATACACCCATACCAAGGGCTGTGGTCTTTGATCTTCATTAATAAGTATTTTAAGTCCTCTTCACTTTCAACAAACAGGGTTGTATCATATGCATATCACAAATTGTTCATGAGTTTTCCACCAATCCTGATGCCACATTCTTCTTCATATAATCCAGCTTCTCAGATTATTTGCTTAGCATACAGACTGAATAAGTATGGTGAAAGATACAACCCTGGCACATACCTTTCCTAATTTCAAACCATTCTGTGTCCTATTGTTTTGTTCAAACGACTGCCTGTTGGTCTATGTATAAATTCCTCAAGAGCATAACTAAGTGTTTGGGGTTACTCATTTTCTGCAATGTTGTCCATAGCTTGTCATGACCCACACAACTGAAAGCCTTTGCATAGTCAATAAAGTTTTCAGCCAAGTCAATAAAGCTTTCCGCCAAGATCCATCTGACGTCAGAAATTATATCCCTGGTTCCATGTCCTTGTCTGAATCCAGCTTGAACCTCTGGCAGTTTCCTGCCAATGTACTACTGTTGTAGCCACTTTTAAATTGTCTTTAACAAAATTTTACTTGTTTGTGCTGTTAATGATATTGTTCAATGATTTCCGCATTCCGTTGGGTCATGGAATTCTTCCAATCCATTGGCCAGGTAGCTGTCTTCCAAATTTCTTGGCATAGATGAGTGTCTACAGTGCTGCATACGTTTTTCAATCTGTATTCCAGACCCTTGTACTCTGCCAATGCCTTCAGTGCACCTTGAACTTCCTCCTTCAGGATCATTGGCTCTTGAGCATATGCTACCTCTTGAAATGGCTGAACATTAAATATTTCTTTTGGTACAGTGACTTTGTGTATTCCTTCTACCTTTTGTTTTTGATGCTTTCTGCATCATTCAATATTTTGTGCAGAGACTCCTTCAATATTTCAAGTCAAGGTTTGATTTTTTTTCTTCAGTTCTTTCAGCTTGAGAAATGCTGATCATGTTCTTCCCTTTTGGTTTTCTAACTCAAGATCTTTGCACATTTCATTATAATATTTAACTTTTGTCTTCTTGAGAAATTTTCTGTTCAGCTCTTTTGCCTCCTCATTTCTTCCGTTTGGAGAACAAGTTTCAGAATCTCTTCCGACATCCATTTTGGTCTTTTCCTTCTTTCTTGTCTTCTTAATGACCTTTTGCTTTCTTCCTGTGTGATATTCTTGATGTCATTCCACAACTCTTCAGATCTTTGGTCTTTAGTGTCTAATGCATCAAATCTGTTCTTGAGATGATCTCTGAATTATGATAGGATATGTTCAAGGTCATAATTTGGCTCTTGTGGACTTTTTTAAATTTTCTTCAGCTGCAGCCTGAACTTACATATAAGCAACTTATGGTCTGTTCCACAGTCTGTCCCTGGCCTTGTTTTGACTGATGATATGGAGCTTTCCCACTGTCTCTTTCTGCAGATGTAGTCAGTTTGATTTCTGTGTACTCCATCTGGTGAAGTCCATGTGTATGTTGTTGTTAAGTGCCATCGAGTCAATTCTGACCCATAGCAACCCTGTATGGGATTTCTAAGGAGCAGCTGGTGAGCTTGAACCACCAACCTTGCAGTTCAAATGCAGTCTGACGCATTAGCCCACAGCGCC